ACACACACACACACACACACACACACACACACACCATCCCCCTATGCTGTCTCCACTAAGTGGACAGAGACAGTCTATAACCTTTGGCCTAAAGAGCTCTGCTGGAAGCCAGCTATGTGAGATAATTGTGGAAACACACAAACGCACACACAGAGTGGTGGTGTGAGTGGGACCGTGGGCTACATGAGGACCTGCACCTGCTGGCATCCTTAATGTCAGACAGAGGGGTAAGAGGGGTTGGAGAGAGCACAGCTGTCAAATACCCCTCATAGCAGCCCCTTCATCACTCACACGCAAACGCAGTCATGTTTCACTTCTGATGACAACAAACTGATTTAAGTTCATTTCCTTAAGACTTTTACTATAACAACAACTACACCTTTCAACCCTTAAACCAAGTCTTCCTTGTGAAATTTAATGATTTATTAGGATTTTCTGTCCTCAAAAGGCCCTGAGGCCCCAGCTATGTGACTGTGTAAATAGATACGTGTCCCAACTTCATGAGCAATACAAGTACACACACAGAGAGACAACAGTCGACCTTTGGAGCCAAGGTCTCGTCAGTGCTACACAGTTTTTTAAGTGTGTGTGTTTGTGTGTGTTCGCAAACGCAAGCAGGACAGAAAGCAGACACCAGAAGGGCACCTCGTCCATCACTGTCAGCCGTGTCGACAAACAGCTGCAAAATGTCTCTGTTAATGTAACTGTGTGTGTGTAAAAGAGACAGGGTGTGGTGGCGACGCTCTTACCTCTATTATGTAGAGGACCACATTCTTGTAGAAACAGTAGAGGATGCACTTTGTGACGCGGTTATAGCTCCACGCCCCGTGGACCAGCAGAAGCTTCTCCAAGTAGGAGAACTACCGAATCAGAGAGGAGACAAAGACAGACACTTGGTCAATCACTCGGAGGGAAAACAAAAGGCTAGAAAGCAAAAACTTGAGGCAGTAATGGAGCACAGGGTATGTATCAAGAATGCGACCGGGAGAAAGGAAAGCTGAGGCAAGAGGAGGCCTGCTGATAAAGATAAGCAAAGAGACAGGCAACGCAGACAGTGAAAGTGGCAGAATGTGTCTGTGTGAGAGATACAGATACAAAGAAGACTCCAGAGTAACTAGGACACAGAGAGAGATTTTTTTCATCCTTCAAAGGGAACAACGGATACACATAACAGAGGTTTTATTTACACAAAAGAGAGATTTGGGGAATTATATCTAGGAAAGCCTGAATTTATGCAGGTTAAAGTCTCACTGAGATTAAAGCTCTCTCTTAGCCAGGAGGGTGGCACTTATTGTAACAGCTGCTGGCATAAACAATCGCAGTAAAGTACGAGTGGGTGAACAGAACCAGATCCAGATCATACGCTACAAAATATCAACACAAAAGGGTCCAATTTCAAATGA